AGCAGGAGCTGACTCTCATTCCATCAAGAACCTGAGAAGCAAGCGTTGATCTGGGCTAGTCAGAACAAACGGACACCTGTGCCCCAGCCTCAGGCGAGTCCTGACAACCAGCAGGCAGCGCAAGAAAAAGGTAGTTGTGAGAAAGCAACAACTAGTTGTTTCCAGGTTCATATACAGGGGAGGGCAGAGACAAAAGCTGAACTTTTGTACCATACGCTGTACAGTAAAAAGGCATCAGTTGAAACCCTTTTCACTCTCACCGTTTTGGGGCACTTCACCGATGCAGTCGATGGATGAGAGTTCCAGTTCTATTTCTTGCCTCCAGCAAGATTGAAAAAGATACTCGGGGCACCCATCCTCAGTTCTCCCTGTACTCTACGAGACCCTAAAACATACCACAAGAGTTGGAACCACAATAGGTGGCAGGACATAGCCCTGCCCTAACCACCGGCTTGTCAACACTCAAGCCACACATGCACATACATGTATAAAATACACGCACACGTGTGTCTATAAAGAGCTGGAATTATCGCCGTGAGCAATACAAAGGAAATACATGATACAAATCAAATGGAAAAATAAATATACTCTGTGCACAGAAAAGCTTCTGTGCAAAGGTGGCACCTTGCAGGTCAAGTACTTTTAATTTTTTGAAGCTCTCTGTAAATAAGGCAAAAGCAATGTTTTCTGTATCGCTTTCCTCTTTCGCCCACCACATCCACTGCTCACAGGAGGAGGGAAAGCGGGAAACCCTCCTCCTTGCCAGACTCCCAGCGTAGTATGCGGTCTCTACGTTGGCATCATTTACGCTACAGTAATGTTTACAGTTTGGTTTATTCAAAAATGTAGACTATTTAGAAAAAATACAGACATAAGCAACACTTCTACTTTTGTCCAGTGGTTCCCTGGAGTCTGACAACGTGGTCTCCCATTGGGCACGCTCTCACAGAAGTCATTTTTGTAATTCCATAGAAAGAGTCACCGGCAAAGAGTTACATTGGCTCTAGACCGTTCAGAGCAGAGCTGCAAAGAGGTCCAGTGTCACCAAGTCTCTTCAGTCTGCCTCGGAACCAGAACCAAGGGGTCTCCCTCCCTCTTGATGCTTACCATATATGGGATTCACAGTGTGTCATTTTGATAACGCCTACTCCTCCTCCCAGCCGCCGATAGTTCATCCCACCATACAACCTGCAACGACAAGGTTGCGCCGGTCACAGCGGTACAGCTCCTTCGCGGAGCTAAAGAGCCAACCAGCCCTTGTGAGCGTAGTTACACCACCCTTAACGTCTGCTCACAGCAGAGCATGGCGTGAAGCTGGGTAGCAGTCGTCTTCGTGTGCCCAAGATGAAGAGCTGTATGCGCTCACGCCTGCCTCAAAACGGGCACCGCAGTTCACTGCTACTCGAGCAATCGCTCGCTTTCTCCCTCGTCTGGTGTAGGCTGTAGCTGACCTTGGGCTACAGCATGGGTAATACAGGAGCAAGGCTACTCACAATTCAACTGCTTTCTTTTATATTTCTAATAGTCTAAATTCAGCTAATCCAACCAAGATGTAACACATCCCAAGCACCATCTGTTTCTCCAAAATATGCTACTGAAACAGTGCCTGCATTTCATATGGAAATCTTATCCCTACAGACTCCAGCATCCTACTCACTCCAGCTGCATATTCCCCGCCGTGCCACTGAAGTCGGCTGGCAGAAACGGGAGAAGCAAGTTCTCCAAGCAACTCCTACCGATGCAATCTGTCAAACCTGAATTGCAGCAGAAGCGTTCCTCAGTCGGGCTACACACGCTGAAAAAAATATCCTCCACAGAGCAAGACGTTCAGCAAACGAGAGAAGACAGAGGCTTGAAATTTTATACTAATTACATTTGGGAATAAATACACAGGCAACGGCTTTCAGGCGTAGTTATGACTAGAAGAGAAATAGGGAAAAGAGCCTTTCTGCTCTGTACATACTTTCGATTGGCAATTTCATATTGTTTCTCTGTTTGTAAATCAGATTACATTCCTCTAATTGCTGTCTGGCAGATCTAAAGGAAAAGAATGCTCCAAGTATTCTGTTTCAGCTCCTCCAAAACGATTTGGAAATTAAGAGCTTCCGCTTGAGAGCAAAACAAAACAAGGAGGCTGAATCCTACATCACAACTGAGAGCTCCTTCTGTTAAGGGCAAGCTTAGTTTCTTTGGGAAGCAGGAGAGATTCAGCCCAAAATAAACAATGGGGACACCACTCTCTCGGCACGGTCCACTTTTGTTATGTTGAAAAGCAGCACTTAAAAGTCAGGTTAGGTTTTGGTATGCCTTCTGCTTGCTACACAAGTCCCCTAAATCATTTACTTTCTTTGGGGTCTCAACAGCCTGTCTACACCCCACTTTCCTACCTGCAAAAGGATGCAATGTGACTATTCATTAAGTGTTGGTTGAGATGCTCAGTGGGAAAACTACGGAAAACTCGCTCCTTTTTTATTTAAAATGGGGTCAATGACTGGAATTCAAGTGGAAATCTGCAGGAAAATGTTTCCCAACTGCCATGAATAGTCACTGTCATGAGGATGCTGCAGCTAAATGGCACGTTGGGATGTTTTTGTGATTCTCTTTGTTACACTTTTAGCAGCCAACAAGCCACAGTGCCAAGCCCCGGTGTTGTCATGTTTCTGATTTGGGACAGCTCCAGCTGGAGATGCCTGCTGGACCATTTCACAAACTTAAGTTACCTCCATGTGTTGGCATCGGGATCAAACACCTCGATGGTCTTCAAGTACGTTGTGCCGTCAAAACCCCCCACTGCCATCAGCTGTCCGTTCACCACTGCCAGGCCAACCTGCAAAACAACCATGGCAGACAGTAGCTCTTTAGCTGGGGTGTCCTGAAAAGAAGGGTTAAAATATTAAGAAAAGGATTTAATAACCATGCTTGGTGAAAAGGCGGTCTGCAATAGAAGGGTTTTTGGGGGGTGTGGGGATGACAAATAAAACAGTCTAAAAAATAACAAGACTTAAAAAGTTAAATATATACCTCAAAATAGAGAATCTCAATGAAAAAGCAGGTGTTTTCCCTTACTATCAGCTATAACAACTAGACCTGCTTGGTGATAATAGACAGATGAGAACTTAAGCCTTTATCAGGCAAAATTTATGCCTTGGGCTGAAATTCTTCCCCAGGAGTGACATGCAAACACCGGAGTATCTACCAGCCTACAGGCTGGAATGCTTGCTTAAGGCCCAGGACTGCTCCTCTTCGGCTGGGGCGTGGACCATCTGTGAGCACCTTGGCCTCCAGCCTTTCTGCTGAAGCACAAAAATGACTGCAATCTCAAACGGTTCTGTAGTCTAGGAAGATTGCTTCCAGTGAAAGCATCTCATGACATAACAGAGAAAAGATGACCAGAACACAGTGTAAAATGGTCCTTGTTTTGGCTTTGAGGAAGTTAGAACTCGGGAGGGCTGCAGGTACAGATGCACCTGTTATGGAGTTTCCACTGAAAGGAAATACAGAAGCAGCTCAGGAAAAGTCAACACCTAATCAGTAACTAAAAAGCAGGGTGTTGGAGTGTGTCCTATATTCTTTAAGGATGGAAATACAAACATATTTTCTGCCTCCAAAAGCATTAGTTGCTCAAATTATGATTCACACTTGCCTCACCAGGCACTGAAATACTAACCTACAGACGGAATTAACCCACCCTTTACTATATAATCCAGTAGCCAGTGATAAATATTCATAACATTTGCATCTGCCCAAACATGATGACTACTTAAAAACACGACGTTAATCTTTTGTTCACATGCCTGCAGAAAGCAGGAAGATTAGCAGTTGATGAGAACAGGCTGTCACTCCCCATACTCACAGGATTCGGTGAAGAGAGGTTGACATACGACCCCAGAAACCCTGTTCTCTCTTCTCAAGGCAATGAAAAGACTTAGCTGGAAGTTTGTATCTAAACACATAGATATCCAGTTTCCTGGCTCTTCGGGGCAAGTAGGTATTTTCATCTCCTAATTCACCCGAAGTGTGTCACAGGATGACACTCAGCTACTAATTTTACCAGTCTTCTCTAATAGTATCTCATCCCAAGTAGGGCTACTTCACTAGATAAAAACCAAAAGAACTCCTCTGTTTCAGGCCTACGTAGTTGACCTCATACAGGGGACCAAAACTATTAATAAGACCCTCAAATGACTCCATTTCCCCATCCTCAGGCATGTGAAACAGCTGCTTACAGCCCCACACATCCACCGCTTCATTCTCTAATCTTGCCCAAGAGCTCCGACTTGTTGCAAACCTTTCTCCCTCGCAGAAGAGAGGCGAAGGTACAGAGGAAAACCTCACACGACGACACCCTACCCTGTGCTCTCACCACACGATGACGTATAGCGTAGACAAGCAAACCAAACCAAACTCACTCCGCTTCGGCGGGATGTCATGGCCACAACAGGAGACCACTGGTTGGTTCGAGGGTTGTATCTCTCGGCACTGCTGAGCTCTGTCGTATCATCTCTGCCTCCCACAGCGTATATCATGTCTTGGTATACCGCACAGCCCAGGTGCTTCCTCCTCGTCCCCATGGGCGCAATCGTGTGCCAGCGGTTCTCCTGGGGATTGTAACGTTCCACTGCAGAAGAAATGACACAGCTTTGGACAACAGGGTTGGCAGGCAGGGGGGGTCAGCACTTTTGAACCTGCAGCCAAAGTATTGCTCAGCCTGTAAAGACACTGCAATTTCCACACACTAAAAATATGATGAACCAGTTTGTTACCTCTCACTCTAATACTTTTCCTGTATAGAAGGCTTGCTATTCTCTCTCCAGTTCTACAAAGTCAATCACACTCAGCATCTTCACCAAAGAGTGAACTGGCAGTGCTACACACCAACCTGTATTAGTCTTGCAGTAGTTTTACCTTTGGCACCTTTCTTCCGACAGCAGAAAAGGGCTACCACGGGAAAAAGATGTGCTTGCAACTGTTATGCAAATGGTCCAAGTATTTTATTCAGGACACCCTGCCAAATGCAGCATCGAGAAAGGAAAAAGAAAAACCACACACAACCAGGTAGTAGGGGCTCACAAGCCCAGAGAGTCAGCTACTGTATGGTAAAAATCACACTTAAGGGAAAAAAGACACAGCAAACTGATGACTGATTTATCCAACAGCCACCTGGGGACACTAAGGACAAACAGGACAATGACAAGTGCTGACTGCAGTGAGGGACAGCAAAAGGCATACCAGTATTGAGAGGAGAAGTCCCATCAGAGCCTCCCACAGCGTAGAGGAAACCCCCTAGCACAGCCACTGCAACTCCCAGGCGCCTGGTGCTCATGGAAGCCACTCGAGTCCATTTGTTTTCTTTGGGATCATACCTGGAAAAGGAAAAGAAACAAACACCAAAGGTTAGTGAAGTGTTGGCATCTTCACAAAGGGACAGGAAGACTGACCTTGTTCTCTCCAAATAAAAATGCCCCTAAGATTTGTACAGTACTTACCTCCTCCCCAGCTCATCTGCCTCAATTCCACCTCCTAAGAGACTCTCTTCTCCTTGTGCCCCACTTTTCTTGTAAATTAAAAAAAAAAAAGTACCTTTCCACAATGTTGAGACAAGAAACACCATCCTGGCCACCCACAGCGTAGAGGTAGCCCCCAAGAACCGCTACTCCAACACTCGTCCTGCAGGTGCTGGTTGGGGCCACATCGCTGCTCCACTGATTGGTCTTTGGATCATACCTAGAAAAACACACCAAACGGCACAAATTGCTCATCCAGGTATGCTTTGGACTCGCCCGTGCTTGGGAACTACTATGGCAGTGAAACTTGCCTATCGTGAGCTTAAACTGCAACACGGCTATTTGTAAGCTGGATAAAACCCCTGAAGCGATGTAATGCATCCAAATACATGTTATTCCAGAGATGTTCAAACTGCAGCTTCGTATGATTCAAACTGAACATCAAAGGTTCAGGTTTGGAAGAGGTTTCCAGAGACTGACTGACGTGTGGTGACTTGCATCTATGCAAAGAGCAGCAGCCAGTTACTCTGCAATTCACAGAAGAACTCAGTCAGCACTGTGACCCACACTTCCAGGTAAAAGGTGAAGGTTATGGATGCCCCATGCCTGGAAGTGTCCAAGCCCAGGCTGGATGAAGCTTGGAGCAACCTGGTCTAGTGGAAGGTGTCCCTGCCCATGGCAGGGGGGTTGGAACTGGATGATCTTTAAGGTTCCTTCCAACCCAAACCATTCTATGATTCTATGAACCAGGTGGACTTGGGAATCCAGAGACATGGAAATTACGGTGCATAGCAGAAAAATACAGGACACAAGAGATGTAAGACAAGGAACATGATTTTGGGAAGCTGGGAGTATGCTAGGAGAGCCATGGGAAGAAGGGGTGGCTCAAGGATAAAGGAGATATTTGTATAGCTCACTGGATTTGATAAAAGGCTGAGATTTGGAGTACTAGGAGCACTTGAGTCACGTGGGTTTTAGGCATGGGGACAACCACACGCGGCTCCCAGAAACACCAGCTTGACAAAGCTTGTTTGACTTTTGTCTTTCACAGGTCTAAAATTGATGCGTTTTCCTTCTCCTGTATACGTGTTCACAAGGTTCCTTAAAGCTCTAGTTACCACTCCGCAATAGAATTCCAGGATCCTTGCCTCGACATTTAAGAAATGATTACCGTAACCTCACCTTCCTCAACAATGCTAAAAACAAAACCAGCAATTGCAAAGGTTGACCAGAATCATCACTTCTCCCATCAATTATAGCCAGACCCATCTCTTACATATTCCTTCCTTATGCCAAAAGGTACATTTCGTCTCATTAAGCCGGGGATAACATGACACAAGCTGTTATGCAGAGAGTCCCAGTTCAGCAGTAAACCAACACAATATTGAAGGGGTATGCAAGGGACAAGGAAATATAGGTAACTTGTAATATGAATTTTAGGTTTGCAGCAGAAAAAGAACACAGCTGGCAACGTGAACTCATTTTTAAGAGGCTGCACTCAGGTTTAAACATTGAGTTAACATTTTGCACACTGGCAAAACGGAGACCTACCTTTCTACACTGTTCAGATAAGAGGAACCATCGTGGCCTCCCACGGCATAGAGGAGGTCATCCAGAACACTGACTCCAACACCACAGCGCCTTTTGCTCATGGAAGCCACCATCCGCCACTCATTGGTTTGAGGGTCATAGCGCTCGACGCTGGAAATCGCGTCCCCGCTACACCAGCCCCCCACTGTAGGAACCAAACACAAGAGAGAGGGTCATAACAACGCACTGAGCTCACGTACTGCGTGCACGCCTGGTACAACTAATCCTTCCGGCCTCTGTCAGCCTTGACCCAGTAGGCCCCCATCTCCGAGTTGCTCATGCTGAGGATTATAATTAGAAGACAGAATGTGATTTTCAAGAGGATTAGCGTAAGTTTGGAAGTACTGTGGCATTCACAGCACCAAAGAAATCACACAAGCAAGAAAATGTAAATTAACTCAAATCTGGAAATATTAACGCACAGGTCACTTCAGAAATATATCGTAAAGACTCGCTGTCGTGGTTTAACTCCGGC